TTATACAGTTTGTAGACTGGAGGATTTTAATGCGAATGCAATGGCACACAAAATTCAAAACTTGGGGACTTAAAAAGATTTCATTTATTCGACCATAAAACTTGTAGGCGTGGATGACTACCAAATGAATATAACAAATATATATATATAATAGCACTGAAAGTCTATATCGCGAGTTAATACTACTCAAGTAGTCATTTGTTGCTGAGTGACACTTTTGCAAGCGGCCAGAAAGAAGAGCATTCAAAGCCCGAAGCCATTGTGCGTCTGAAATAACACGAGTTCATGTCGCATTTCAAGATTTTGGTCAGCATTCCATGACATCGGTCACCAACTGTGCTTTTTCTGACCTACCTCATTAAATGCCGACCGAAATTCTTAAATGTGTTCTCAACTAGAAAGGATCACTTTGGTCGGGTTGTAATATTGATCAACAGTCAGTATAACTCCAAGATGTTTCGGTCGCGCCAATGTCGACCTTTGAATGAGTTTCTTTCCAGTCGCAAGAACCACACTGGACAAAACAATGACTGCTTCAGTAGCATGAGTTTCCCCCATTGGTTTTTTATGCCGTTAAAAACTGAAATATATTTTATGGAGAACATGCACAAAGAGATTCTTTCATGTGGTAGTAAATTACGTCTCCTTTAAAATTTTTGCCTGAAAAAAGAGTATCATTTGGTTTTAAAAGCGTTTGAGTTCCTGAACAATTTATAACCCGACTTGCTGTTACGCTTGCATCCAGGGTTTCCAAACTACAAACTTTATATCTTCACCCAAGGATCTTCACCGGTGTCTTCGGCTCTCTGGGTCATTTCTTCTAACCGTAGTAAGTCCCTTTGGTTTTGATGAATACCTTTCTTTCAAATTCACCCAAGGACTCTCCCGAAACTCATTGCTGTTCTCGTACGACAGTCCTATCCTTGTCGTGTTATTTTGTTAGTAGTATGAGTCCGCCAGAGTGTTTTTGAGTAGCAGTTGAATGTACCCGCTTCGAATTATTTCTCGAGAGTCTTTTCGCTTTCCAACAAGTGTCCCGTCTTCAAGTAACATCGGCGGGATCGGTTTCTGTATGTCCAGTAGACTGTAGACATCGCTGCCGCATCTTTCAACTAGGAGCATTGCGATTTATTTCAGTCCTCTGGTGTCCGCAGTACTCAAAGGCCTATCGACCCTTGTCAATATCCGAGTGCTGTTAATTACCCTCCTCCTCCGACATGACTGTGCAGGTCATTTATCTTTCTTGCGATCAACTCGGACTTCTGAGAGTCGCTTGTTAGTATGATATCCCGAAACCCAACATAATCTTAAATTCATTTAGAAAACGCACTTTAGTCATCTACAATGATTAGATAGTAAAACGACATCCTGCCCCCCTCTGGATCAAGCCGGTCCGAATGACCGCACAGATATTTCAGTAGACTGTGTCGGGTTTATACAGGGATCTTGTATGAAATCCACACCTAAATTCATGTATACCAACGCGCAATGCGTGCTCTCCAAAAAGAATGAACTCCGAATCCATATCTGTGACCAGTAACGGTAGGGCGTAGGATCGCACGTAGCTGGACCTATTCCCAGACGTCATATCAATGACAGAAACGTGGTTTTCGGAACAGGTTGATGACAGCAGGCCTGTAGTTCCTGGATTTGAACTGTTCCACAGAGTCGGATAAAGCCGAAGGAGTGAAGGTATAACTTTCCTAAAGAATGACGTGTGTGTTTCAGAAAAATCTGCTAAACTGGCTTGTATTACGGAAGCAGTGTGGTTGACCATAAGAACAACGGTGTAGCGGCTTACGAAAAATGACCCTGAAATTGATATCTAACTGCTGAATTAACTCAAATTACTTGCTGAGCGACCGAATACTCTAAGCATTGGAGACTTTTATTCGCCTTACATTAACTGGACCTCTGCCTCCGCCGACTTCTCTGAAACAGCATTCGACCAACAGCTTCTACGTACTACTGACAATTCGCTTCTCCCCCAACACGTCATGTTTCCGGCGAGAGTTTATGAGGACCGGCAGATGAACTGCCTTGACACTGTAATCACCAAATGACCTGACAACAGGGAGGTTGTGAATTACCTCACCCCCGCCCTTTAGGTCCGAATGACTCTGTTGTTCTCATACGAGAATACACCTTATTCTCATTGCTTGTCCAACCAGTTATTTGGCGTGTCGATGTCGAAAAGATAAAAAATGATTTCCTCCTATTGACTGGGCATCCACACTCTGGCCTGCCAATTGATGTTGTTTTCGCCTTCTGCGTGGATTCATTTAAGAGCAAACTCGACACGCATGAGGCTTCCCAGTTAAGGAGTCATTTGGCATTACGAGGTTCCAGTAGCCCGAGTCCACTTTTGAATCGTAAAGAACGTTCTCGCCTTGTCCTTAATTCTTTAGCCGCGCGCACCGAGGGGGAAATATGTGCCCTAATAGTCGTTCTACGGATAAGGCGCGTGTTTTATACATCGTTGGTGACATTGCACGAGTGTGGGTGCGAAGGCATATCTGAAGATCAAAGTCTTTATTTCATCCTAAGATTTTTGGATCGTGGTCGAGCAACTCCACCAGATGTGGCACTGGGTGGTCACAGGCCGTGATGAGTAGTTATCAGCAGCCGGTATAAGGGCGAATCGTAAGAAGCTCAGAAACTGTGAATTTATCATCTCTGGCCTAGTTGCAGTTGTCAGACAGTTGTTCTTCAGCGCCATACCGAGACAATGACGTCGAGGCCAACCGAAATACTGCATTCTTTTACTAGACCCCGAGTCAGCTCTCTGGTGACTGTGATCGAAGGCATTCCGCGTCACGACAGTGAAATCATTTGCCGCGCTAGTGCGGGCTCTCTTCCGAGTTGTCGTAACTTCTGATGTGGCTGGCTACACAAGGTCGTCCTATGGCTGCCATCGTGCCAAACCGTCTGCCACGCATCAGTGAGACAGCAAGACTGCGGTAGAGAGCGGCCCGCTGCCAGAATTCCACCAGAGTTTCTTTGATGTTATGTCTGAGCTATCCGATAAGATATTTCAGAGGGCGTGGCGATCGAAACCGACAGCACAGGTTGGAGGCGTTAGACTTCTAACCAACAGGTCGCCGGATCGAGCCCCAAGTGTTCCACACTTCGGGGTTGGGTATGACTGGCTGACGACGGTTAATAAGCCGAAAATAACCGTTCCAGTTCCCCTTGTCTTTGTCGGTAATGCTATTCTGCCTACACACATATATGTATAAATTGAAAAACAGGCATCCCAAGAAATATAATTAGAAAGGTGAAGTTCTTTGGGAAACAGCAAAATTTTATTGTGAATTTTCGAGACTGGTTCCCCAGGTCGTCTTCAGAAAACGGGTGTGCAAAAACAATTAACTTCTAGACTGAGTCTGGCAAAAGGATTCTATGGTTGGTCAAGATCGTCATCTGGGGATTGGTTGAGTTAGTGTGAATCTGTCTTTAACGATTTTGTATGTGGCATCTTACTCGATATGCCGGTTGATGCATGCCTCATCTGAGTGCATTGCCTCCAGGAATTCGCGGCCTTTCTTTGTTTGTCAGGCGCCAACAATGCGAGTGTTTTCCCATGCGATGCACTCAGACGAGGCATGCATCAACCGGCATATCGATTTAGATGCCACATACAAAATCGTTAAGGACAGATTCAAACCGACTCAACTAATCCCGAGATGACGACCTTAACCAATCATGGAATCCTTTTGCCAGACTCAGTCTTGAAGTTAATTGTTTTTGCACACCCGTTGTCTGAAGACGACCTGGAGAACCAGTCTCGAAAATTCACAATAAAATTTTCCTGTTCCCCAAAGAACTTCACCTTTCTAAATATATATGTATTTATTCACTTTGACCCAATTGTGAGAAAAACTCGGTGCCTCGGTGGAATACAAACCCACGACATCCAACTCTTGCTGTCGTGGGTTCGAATCCCACCGAGTTTTTCACAATTGGGTCAAAGTGAATTTTTTGAAATCCGCCAAAACACCTCTGAGTATGTATGTATGTACATGTATGCAGAATTGTATCATACATGTATATAAAAGTCCAGACAGCGTCATCGCATTTTCAAGCTCATGATGGCAAAATGTGTCGTGATCTAAGTGATTCTGCGTTAGAATCCATTACAGCCCAGAAAAGAAACTGTCGGCGTGAAACTTATAATAAATGAAAGAAAACAGCTTAATTGGGTTAGCCAGACTCACATTCGGTTATAAACGCAGGCATATTTTAGTCACGTTGGTTGTGGATGTAAGTTTTGAATATTCTGGCAGAAGGCCCCCGCATTGCCGTTTTATGTGACTCAATCGATGGATGACTTCTAATGATCGAGTAGATTACGCCAAAATTCATGTAATACCTCTTAGATGCTTCACTGGAAACCGCACAGTCCAGTTCTGGTCCAGCTATATTATTTAGCCTCCTGTACGCGGGGAAATGGGACGTGTTCTACGTTAGGAATACCCAAGCGCATGAGTCGTCCATATAAAGCAATTTAAGGTATGCATTTTAAGATCGTAGCGTTTTTTGCAATACTTTGCGATACCTAGATGAATTACGATTGGTTGTCGGTATATCTCGTCAGATTTCCACAAAGTTGCGAGGCTTTCAAGTCTGCCATCGTCCACCACCTTTTTTCATTTGAAAACTTTTCCGAATCTGCTACCTAGCTGGCCTGATTCGCATCAATTGGCTATCTTATCTCGATTTACATAGGGAGTTCAAACCCTTTTTCTACAGGCTTGGGATAGTTTCACTATTTGAAATGTTTTTAATGGTATTACCGATACTTCCGTCATATCTGTTAGTGCAGGTGACATTTACTACCGGATACTATTTGCCTGTTATCGTCTGAGTTCACGTTGTTGTCCTCTGTCCCCAACTTCTCCAAAAGAGTCCATTCCCAAGCTGAGAATATGAAATCTGGACGAAGACCCTTACAAACGACCAAACAGGAAAAACTGTCTGCCCGGCCTTACCAGGTGGAAATGGCCGAAATCGCCAAACACGAAAGCGTCATCGTAAAGTTGAACACGGGTCTGGGAAAGACTTTCATCGCAGTCATTGTCATAAATCATCACCTGCCCGAAACATACAAACCGCTCTCTGAAGGGGGCAAGCGAATTGTCTTTATATGCAAGACCGGTAAGAGTTTATTGTCACCGGTTTCACTTCATTCGTCTAATCTACTGATTGATTAATTCGCCAATCATGTCGTTCAGGTTTTTTAGCCGACGTATATGTATTTGGGGGCTGTTTTCAATCTCAGTAATTTTTTAACTTTTTGTTTTTGCTCATGGGTTCGAATTCGCCTTACTCACTCTCATACGAACACGCTAATCACCCAGAAGGAATGAATAAGTAGCTGATTCCAAAGATCATCTTCCTATCCCTCTTTTATATTCTATTGTTGAAGAGCCTTCTCTTTTTCATTGTATATTTACATATGTTATGGGCAAAATGACAGTCGACAAAGACAAGGGAGACCAAAATTGCCGTTTCGGACTTATTAACTGTCATCAGCCAACTGTACCCAACCCCTGGGGCTTGAAACCTCTGAGGCTTGAACCTGTTGCTTCTTGATCAGAAGTCCAACGCCCTGGCAACAGACTCATTGTCCTGTCGGTTGCGATCGGGCTCTATGCACATGGTGGCGGAACACTCACCGATCGTGTTATTAGGGATATCGATGGCCGACAACGACTTATAAGCCAGACTTGGCCATTCCAGTCTCCCTTGTCTTATCCTGTAATGTCGGTGCTGGTGACGGTTATGGTGATCGCCAGCGCTAACAAACAGGTGAGAGAATTTCTCGAAGCATGGTACTTCAACACAAACAGCTTCAAGCGCCATCTTGACCTGTACGCTCACTACGTAGGTCTGCGTTTACGGCCCACTGGCTTGCTCTCACCCTAAAACTACAGCTGCTAATCAATGCTCGGTCATGCGGAACCTCATTGATTCGGCACCTCTCCGAAACCGAACCACAACTGGAACTCTCAACACCCCCTCACCTCCGGCATCTATCTTAAAATGCTTTTGATCCCCTCATATGGACGTCTGTTTGTGCGATTCTCCTACTCCCCACTATTCATTTCTTTCGACAACGGCTTGGTGTGACCAGCTTGAAAATTCTCGAGTTCAACCCGCTTTTCTGACGGACTTCTGCTTTCATTATATTACCTTGGAATGAACACTACCTACATTATTCATATGCATATACATATAATGGTGGAGGAGGATGCTCACCGATCGTGTTACGAAACTCACTCATCCCGTTGTGCCCTAAGGTTATCTCTCGAACCCCACAAGTCACCAGTCTGACATACTTTTGGACTTTGACGAACTTTTAGTGTCGTCTTCTTTTGCTCTCCATTTATAGTTCACCTGGTCTATCAACATGCTGAATTCCTTCGGACACAGCTGCCTATTCCCTCGGAAGAGGTTGGCATTTTCCATGGTACCGTTGCACCCGGTGTTTGGATTGACAGCTGGGATCAGGTAGACTGACGATTGCTTGCCTCTGTTTTCATTTGCTCATTTCAATTACTTCAGAAACTTTTGTTATTCGCATCTCTGCCGATATCTCCGATTTTTGTGTTTCCACCCGATCTGTGAACTAGTGGTGATTGCCTGCTTGTGACCCCAGCCACCTTTGTTTCGCGAGCACACTGAATCGGCCCACAGCCACTCACTTCTGAATATGTATATATATATATACGAGAAGAAGAGGTGATATGAGGAACCGTAATTGTGTTTCCTGACGCGTTTTATGAGCAGGCAAGCTTTCACACTCGGAGATGATTGCTGCTCAGCCAACGTAATATGTGAAAGTTGATAACCATGCTAGCGCGCCGCCCGTAAGGTGGTTGGCTCTGCAGTCTTGGTGATGGAGGGAGGTGGGAGAGCGGCTTCGTTGGATCGTCTTCACGCCTTCTGTTGTCGTGCCGATCTGTCCAGGGCTGATATGTTGCCGCTGCCGGTCGTCTTGTTCCTATCTCGTTCATGTTATCTCTACGAACATGGGTTCGTCTGCACCTGAGTTTACGTTTTTTCTTGGCTCTTGTGCACATAAAGCTTTGCTCAGGTGGACTGAAAGTCAGTTACCTTCAGCTTATTTTATGTTCGATTACATATCAACTCCTTTTCTATCGGCATACCTTCCAATCCCTCTGCTGTTGGCCGCATTTGGCTCGGTAGATGGTTTGAAGAAGAAGATGTGCTCACCGGAACAGCTTTACTTACATGCTGACGTTTCAAAGAGCTTGGTCGGCTCTCAATTGTCAAAGCGTAAAATGCACTTAATCGACCTGAAATCCCATGTAGCGTGTCTCGTTGGTCGGCCTCCTGCTGATCGATCTTTCTCTCCTCTCGCTGCTTCGGCCTGTTGGAGGATGGTTGATGGGCGTTTTGTGTGCGTGTGTTGTGAGTCATCACTCCGTCGGGGGGAGCTGATTGAACCTTTCTCGGGTAGTCGGTCGGGCGGTTCTTGTTCTTCTTCACCGAGTAAACTCGCCGTCGGGCTGTCTCCGTGTGGCCTCCTTAAGTCCGGTGTGGTTGTTCGGCCCTAAGCTCTACGATTGTGATGACGTAGGACTTAGTAAACTGCAGGAAGATCCAGATGCCTGTTGATGGAGTGGGCATCGGAGAACCACGCCCATAGAGTTAGCCGTTCTGCTTTTGTGTTGGTCCGGCCTAAGATGGTAGCCCGCTGGAGATCGAAAGTATGCCTCATCTAAATGTACTTTAACTAAACATGTGCAACTGGAAATCATTCTCGATAATGACGGTGTTCTGAAGATGAAGGCAATGCACTAGACAGAACGAGACAGCTAGCGGTACACCAGCATCGATTTTGTGATGGTGCTGATCGTCTGGGTTCTAGGAATGTCTGAATGGCAGACGAAGATCGCGCCGCCACGAGACTTTAGCTCCTAAACCGGGGGTATTCTTATGCCAAACCGGAGCTGAGTGGTACATTTTTATAGTAGCTCGCTGAAAATCAGTAGATGGTTGACTGTTTATGAGCCCTGCCAGCCAATCGAGACTGCTTTTTTCCGAAAGGACTGTCGATCGGTCCACACCCACTTGCGTGTGAATATATATGTATAGGCATACACAGAAGATGTAAACATATACATACGAGAGTTCGGCCGTCGTGACTGACAATGTCCACTGCGTGCTCCAGAGCAGGGTGGGAGCAGGGACAGTGACTTGCGCGCGTAAACTCGTCCATAATAACAGGCTTGCACTGCATCTACCGCACTCTCTCCTCTCCCACCTGGGTCGGCGTTAAGACAGAGTCAAAAAGACTGAACTTGAGGGAGGTTGCGGGTGGTTGACGCGGTGGAAATCCGCTCCTAACCTCACAAGCTCAGATCTCACTAAGTGGGAGCGCCATAAAGGCCACATTAGGAAGGAGCCATTTCAGCCTGATTCCCAGTCCGCCAGTCGACCAATCTACGCAAACACACACACTGGGGCGACTTCGAGGTCAGACTTATCGCGTAAGTTGGAAGCCTTCCAGTCTAGAGATTTTAGCGCACCGTGATAGATTTAAGCTCGTCAGCTTGTTTTTAGGGAGGGATGTACTCTAAGACAGTCGGCCTCTCTCTTACCATTGCCATGCATCAATCCACCATCCGAGCCGGTCAACCATCGGATGCTGAGGTCACTGACAGAACTGAGAACAAGACACGATCGCTGGGGCAAGAGCTTTACTAGTCTGACGTTTCGGATTCCTGCTCGGACTCATCATCAGAGACAAAAGCGGGCACGTATCTGCCTTTGTCTCTGATGATGGGTTCGAGCAGGAATCCGAAACGTCAGACTAGTAAAGCTCTTGCCCCAGCGATCGTGTCGTCTTCTTCATGACTACTTCCTGGGACTCGTCTTTTCGCTTCCATTGAGAACGGAGAACAGCCCACTTGCGTGTGAAATACACACGACCTGATCCCCCATACACACACGTCAGGATTTCACATAAAAGGGTGTAGACTGTCCAGATCTCACATGTAGCAGAGGAGCCGCATGAAGAAAGCAGTCGAAGAGCACAATTTCCACTGTTAACTTTGTACATTTTCACTCCTTCATGTAATTGTATTGGCCTGACGAAGAATTACCGAAAACACATGTTAGCCAATTTGACTTTTCGATTGTAACATGGGAATATTCGCTGAATTTCCACCTACTTGAGAGGTTCCGGCACTCGTGATTGACCGACCAGACCGATTCGTGTGGTGACCATGCAATCACAATGAGGACAAGCTGGGACCGAGTCCATATCGCTGGTGCAGGGTAGGGGTCGACGAGGCGTCGTCTTTTGTCGCGGAGGTTGTGGCAGGGATAATGGAGGTGACGGCGATCGACGGCGGCGGATATCGAGAGTGTGATCATCGGTGGTGAGGGAAGTTGTTGTCGTGGACTCCTCAGGGTCGGTGCAGGGTTGACAATGGGGCGGTTGTGGAGACAGTAGTTGGGGTTGTAGGTTGCTGTCGAATTGGAGCCCGAGATATCCTACCAGACCAATCTGTTTGCAGGTTGCTCGCCAAAAGTATCAGTATGTTGGAAGAGGTTGGGTATTTCCTTTGGTGATCGAGGGCTCTTGCGACTTGCAGGCCGCTCTCTCGACTTTGACAGCGTCTGTCCGGTCGGCCTCATCATCTCTGTCCTTGTCCAGACTGGTCAGTCCTGTGCGAGGTATTCCCAGGTCTTGGAGTTGATTTTTAGGCGCTTCAAACAGTTCTTTAGGATGTCCTTGTCGGTGAGCAGCCCTGCCGACATCTCCATAGAAAGGCCATTTGTGTAGTGGCTCATCGTCCATTTTCACGTGTTGGCCGTACCATCGCAGTCACTGTTGCCTCAACAGGACGTGAATTCTGGGGTTTCTGGTCCGGACATTTCCGAAATTCCGTCCTGTCACCTCCGCGCTTGTTTTTGTAGATTGTCCTGATCTCCGCACCCTTCCGGCAGCGTCGTCAAGCTGACAGCTTTGAACATCTTGCGTTTTGTGTTGAGATGGAGACCGTGACAATTCCACACGGAATTCTGCAGTCGGCTGAGGGCCAGGTTGGCTTCGCAGATCCGGTGTGCGACTTCACTGTTGACTTTGATGCAGCCTGAGAGTATGCTGCCTAATTAGTCGTAGTTGTTCACGGTCTTCAGTTCGATACGTTGACGTGGATGCGAGGGACATTGTATGCAGCCTTGGGTGGTGGTTGATCCATGACCACCGTTTTGTCCATGTTGATGACTATTCTGAGGTTGGCACAGCCGGCGTCGAAGAAGTTCATGCTCCGTTGCATGTCAGCTTCTGTTTCGACATTGAGTGCGCAGTCGTCCGCGAATAGCAGATCTCAGAAACTAGTCGCAGGGATACGCGTTAGGGCCTGCACGCGCCGACTGTTGAGGAGATGTTCGTCGGTTTTGTTGTTCACGCGGATCCCCGGGCGTTCATCACGGTAGGTGTCCATCAGCGTGGCAGAAAACATGAGGCTGAAGATGGTGGGGGACGATTACGCAGCCCTGTTTCACTCCGTTGGTTACTGCAAATGCTTCCGAAACGGTCCACCGTCATCCTGCCGTAGAGCTGACGCAAAATGTGCGTGAATCACTCATGACAGTCGAATTTCTGCATGATTTTCCACCGCCCTTCGCAATTCACCGTGTCGAGGGCGTTAGTCAGGTCCACGAAGGTACTGTGGAGGTGGGTCCGCATTTCCTGGTTCTTTTCGTGTAGTTGGCGGACGAATATATCACCCGAATTTGCATAATGGAGTTTATGGCCATTGCTGCCCTGATGTGTTCTTCTATGGGGTCCTGTGGTCGTCCGACCATCGTAGTTAAATTCTCAAAGCCTACCCGAGAACCGATAGATGACGTTTACCGTCTCGGAACTTGGTATGAACGTTACGCCCAACGTTTAGATGTCGGATTCTTGCCTCCGGTCCGCGGGCGACGTCTTGTCGTACTTTTTGCAGGAACAGAACGATCATCTCGGAAACAAGACTACTGTGTGAGAACATCGGCCACGTATTTGATTTGCGCATTACTAAACGTCGGCTTCGCCTGGACTGCCTGTCACATACGAGGTAGTTTCGAGGATAGTTGTTAGCCATTTAAATGGGGTTGAGATTGTGAAGTTCGTAAATGTCGTCGTCCATCTCAGTTCATTGTTTTTTGCTACCTCGTGGAGAGTTCGCAGACAACTGCGTTTTTGACATAGCGAATATCTGCTTGATAGCTTCTGGCTATGCTCTCATTGGTGACCTTCATGTATACGGTCATTTTATGGCCCTCGTCAGAGTTTCAACGAGCGAGAGCATTCTGGAACGACTCCCATTTGCCATCCTGCCGCTCCATTTGAATGATGATGATGATGATGATGAGGAGGAGGAGGAGGAGGAGGAGGAGGAGGATGAGGATGAAGATGAGAATGAGGATGAGGATGATGATGATCGACGTATTTAGTCCGACACTTTAGTTTGTAGATTGCAAGAACCAGTGTAGCTGCTTTTGAAGCACTAGGTTTTCAAAGAAGCCCGACACCATCGATTCCTTTGACCTACCTTTGACTTGCTCGCACATGGACCATCCGAATAAAAAAACGTTTTGGGGACAATTTGAAAAGATGAATGAGATGCATCCGCCTCGGTATCTTATTCGGGTCGTTCTTTTGGCTCTCGAGGTGCTCGTTGAACGCTTTGATTGCTGGATCCTACTGGACTGGGGTGAAGAGGGTGACTTCTGCGTGCCAGCAGCCCGGACTGCCATCCTCATTGTTCGTATTTCTTGTCCTAACATTGCGCATCCGTTCGTCAACCTCTTTCTGCACCCTTCCGCGCATGCGTAGCCGCTGGATGATGTGCTAACGCTAATACCTCCCCGTCATCGACATTCACGCGCTTCTTTTGGTGTTCACCAGTCCCCCCGACGTAATTAAATTCTCAGTAGAAAAGACGTAAGGCAGTGTTTCTCGATCGACGAGAACTGGTCTATCTTCCTCATTGTCCCCAGGTTTCCACTAATATGGACAATGGCCGACCTCATGAAATGTTGACCGAAATTCTGAAATGCGTTTTCGATTAGGAAGGATTATTTAGGTAGGGTTGCAACAATGATTATCTTGCGGCCTAATCCTTTACTGTTCAGGACTCACCAGTATGTCGGCTTTTAAATGCACTTCTTGCCGGCCTGCTGTAGAAACCGCATTCGACAAAAAGTGGCTACTTAAGTAGCATGCATTTTTCACATTGATTTTTGACGATATTTTAAATTTAAACATATTTTATAGAACCCGTGCACAGAAATATGCCTTCTTCTACTCGTTTGGTAGAGAATCACGTTATCTCTACATTTTATACCCAACGAAAGGATATATTTAGGTTTTGAAAAAGTTTTCTAATTCCCGAATAATTTTGCGCCTGACCAGCTGTTGCATTAGCGTTTAGCGATTTCAGTCTACAAAGTGCATGCTTTTGGCGTATGGAAAATCATATATTCCTCAATTATTATGAACTCAAAACCATATAGAGTTCATAAGATATCGCAATAGATGCGGACTATGTTGTACATTTCATGAGAAGCATTGGAAAACAGACAGGTACGATGCTGTATAAACGGAAAATGCACGGTTTTAAAAAATCTCATAATTTGAAACTTTTACAAAAGCTAAATATACCCTTTCTATGGGCATAAAATGTAAAGATAACGTGATTTTCAACCAAACGAGTATATTTGTGTGCATGTTTTCTATAAAATATATTTGAATTTATAGGACTATCGAAAATCAATGTGAAAAGCGCATTTTACTTACGTAGTCCCTTCTTGCCGAATGAGATTCAACAGGTCAAAAAGAAATGCATTCAAAAGCCGACATACATGGGCGTTGTGTCTCATCACTAGATGCCTTACTGTTGTCTTTGATCGACGACTATCCGCATTGGCAGAAGTGAACCGGCTACGTTCGTAATGCACAGCAGTACCGGTTAGGCTTTGTTTATTCTACTTTTGACCTTTTATTTGACTTGGGCTGTTCTATAGAGCTGGCAGGGTACACGTACGCATTGGACGTCAGCTCTTTATGGTGGAGTTAGAACACAGTGGGTGAGCTAACTCATGGAATGTCAATCGAAATGCGTCTTCGTTTCGAAAGGATTAATTAAGTGGGGTTGTTAAACTCATTATCGTGCAACATAATTCTGCAATAATTCACTTACCTCGGGATGCTGGCTTTCGAAAGAATTTTTTGACTGCGCGCGAAGACTATACTCCGTAAAAAAATGGCTAATTAAGTAGAATGCATATCTTCTCAGTGATTTTCGATGCCAGTAAAAATTCAACTGTATTTCATGCAAAACGTGCATAAAAAAATATTAATTCGTTTACTCGTTCGGTAGAAAAGGACGTCATCTTTCAATTTTATACTCGAAGGAAGGGTATAATTCGGTTGTAAAAAGTTTCTAATTGTGAGATTTTTAATACCGTTAAATGGCTGTTCATTAAAAGTCATGTCTCTGCATCTAACAATGTGGCTTGTTAAGTTAACAATATGGCTCAAATCCACTGCTGAATTTTATGAACCCCATATAGTTTCCTCTTATTACCGTATGAAAATGTATGGTTTTCCGTACGCGGAAAATTTACGACTTGCAGTTTGGAAACCCTGAATGCGAGTGTAACGGCAGGCCGGGTTCAAAATAATTCGGGAATTGGAAAAGTTTTTGAAAACTGAATTATGCCCTTCCTTCGAGTGTAAAAATTGAAGAAGACGTAATTTTCTACCGAATGAGCAATAGGAGGAATAGTTTATGCATGTTTTCCGTGTAATATAATTCAATTTTTGGGGGCATCGAAATCACTGAGAACAATGCACGCCAAATAAGTAGTCCTTTTTGCAGAGTATAGTTTTTGCATGCAACCGAAAAGAACTTCTTTCGAAAGCCGACATCCTGAGGTAACCAAACTATTATAGGATCATGTTGCACAATGATTAGTTCAACAATCCTACTTAATTAATCTTTTCGGGACGAAAGTGCACCTGCGAATTTCGGTTGACGCTTCATGAGTTAGACATACTGTACATCACTGCGATTAGTGTCTGTTCTCATGTAATGGACTCGCTGACGGTCTCTTTTGAGGTGATGTATCCTGCCTATCTAGAGGTTCATCTCCACCCGTTAACGAACGATGCCTCCCGGAAACGATAGCTTACAGTTGTACCTTTCTATCACTGTTAAATCGGATGTCGGGGACAAAGGAATCGAATAGTTCGTGAAGTTTGGTCGATAGTATTCATAGTCTATGCTCCTCGTCGTTGCAATACCTTCCCGGAAGGTAGGTTAAACAACTGGGACCCTATCGATGTTTCTTTTACTTATTTGTACTCAGCTCCACTGGAGATTAAGAGATCTTCAGACAGTGTCTGGAGAGATAAGTACGATGTCTCATCTCGACTTTCTTTTGCTGGCTTCGTTTTGACGTTGGTTAAGCAGGGTTTATATATTCTCAACCGTTAGATCTTGTAGAACCGAGGTACAAAATGATGTCACACCGATAGAGTGTGTAGAATTGAATTTTCTGTCCCATGCATGATAGCATTCCCGTGGCAGGGTCTTCATCAGTTCAGTCGCCACATAGCATCTTTTTGGCACACCGGATATGAATCTTGTGGAAGGGGAGGACAGTCATCAAAGCTTTCCTTTTTCGAGATATCCCTGTGGATCCCACGAATTTTATGCTACGATACTGGAACTCACTTTGTGTCTACCTCTTACTGATTCTAGGCGGCGCACCTGTTTTTGAGATCGGTAAACCTGTCCCCTTGTTAACGTACCGGCTTTTATGTAAGCCAAGTTGACTGTATTTATCGCTGCACACACAGAGAAATGTCGTTTGGAGCCTCATCTGGATTGGTCAGTTTAACGGCCATTTTGCATACATTCATGGAGACGTACCGGTAATAAACCTTGTGGCCGGGGGAAGGGGGGAACAGTTATCACAGCTTTTGAAGCAATCTTCGTCTTCCAGGCTATCGTAGGAATTGCTGTGAGTTTCAGACTGCGATACTGAGGCAGTTTTGTGTTTAGTTTTCACAGAGTCTAGAGGACACACCTATTTTGAAAACCTTCGAGACTACCTCCATGCTAATGTACCGGCTTTTATGCTTTAGAACGTTTGGCGCGCTCAGCTGGAGAAGCATAAAGTGCTCGTAGCGACCGCTGGTGTCTTCCGTGACGTCCTAAACCACAGGAAAGTGAGCCTGAATGATGTTTGCTTACTCGTCTTTGACGAATGCCACCACGCGGATCCTGACACGAATTCAGACTTCACTGATATCTGCCAACACCTTCAAACCTTCCCGTCCGGCCGCTGGCGTCCGGATTACTCTCGGGGACCTAAGGTACAGCAAAGTTGATGTACTTCTTTTAAATCACATTTCTACCACCATTACCACCAACACCACCACCACCACCACCACCTCCACCACCACCCCCACCCCCCCCCACCACCACCACCCTCACCACCACCCTCACCACCCCCACTACCACCACCACCACCACCACCACCAACACCAGCATCACCGCCACCACCACCACCCTCACCAGCATCCACCCCCTCTGTTTTTCTCCCTTGCATTCTTTTTACATGCGCCAGCAGCACTTCCCCGCACTGCTTTTGGCCTATCATTAATTTCGCCCTTCATTGATCGCCTAACGCCCACATTTCCCCCTTGTTTTGTTCCTCCGCAGGTGTTGGGTCTCACCGCCTCGGTAGTAAACAATGTCAAACAGGGAACCCCCCTAGACACAAAATTGCGCCACTTAGAGGCTCTCATGCGCGCTCGTTTGATCACCTCTGAGGACAGCTCTATCGCCGCGGTGATGGGAAAGCGGGAACAGTCAATTATTCCTTTCTTATCCGGTGGATCTCAGACTCGTGCTGGCGAGTCCTACTTCCAGGTCTATCAGGCCTTGGCAGAGGGAGTCAAGACCCTGTCTAGGTGAGTTTTCTGCCGCGCCCTGCTTCCGCTCTGACGGCTTGCCTTCCCGTTTTTGCACAGATGGGTCCCCCCTCCCCTCCCCCCATCACTCGCCCCCTCTTCCCCCGCTAACGGCAGACTGCCATCTGTGCTTAGTTAGTGTCAACCTTCAATGCTAGAGCAACTTTCTTTAACTCTGCCGCTGCAGAGCCTCCAGCCCGGTGGCTTACTTTCTTCCCGGTACACCACTACAACAAGTTGACAGTCAGAAGGACTTGCGTGTGTGGATTGCATCTTCACTCAAAACAACACTGAACTGCGCAAAGGCGGCTAAGTCGGCCATGGCTACATTGTAACTCATTAGGCGAGCCTTTATGGGATTTGATGCTGACTGCTTTTCCAAAATATTTGGCAACCTCGTTCGGTCCCATCTAGAATACGCCATAGAAGCATATAAACCTTGGATTTTCAAAGATTATGCAGTCGTTGT